TGGGAGGCTAGGGCCAAGCAGTCATGCCTCCATTGGCACTCACAATGGTCCGTGAGTGCTGCCACAATGGTTATTGGCTGCGTATATCCTCTCATCACCCCTGTGGCTGTCAGACACTGGCTCTGACACACAGCTTCCCCTTGTTGGACTCCGTGGTGGGTGGGGGCGTGAGAGGATGAAGCACTTACCATTATATGGAAAATTTAATAAAAAAAAACTCACAGACTGAGATAAATGTTGACGACCCATGCAAGGCCCAGACCACGGCAGCCACCCTGGAACCATTCCTGGCTCCAGATGGTGGATTAGTCCATCAAATGGTGAAAAAGATGGACTCTCATGCTGGTCCCCCCAGACCAGCAGCCAAAGCAGGGACGGGAGCACAGGCTGGACCAGCCGAACCAGCAGCTGCTGCCCCCACGAACAAGCCCCCCAGCCGAAAGGGCGCACCGAAGCGACCAAGGCCGGAGACAGACTCTGATGGAGAGTCTGGACAAGAGTCTCAGCAAAAGTCGCTTCACCCAGTTCAAGCTCCCAGCCTAACCCGAAGGCTTCGACAATGCCTACCAATTTGTTTAGAGCATTGGTGACGCACAGGCAAATCCGGCTCTCAATCCGAGTTGCCAGAGACCAAGGCATGATCATAGTGCCGAAAGATCATGCCACCCAGAACTTCCTTCGGGAAATCAGGGAATTAAAAGATGGGAGAAAAGTGAGTCTTTCCCCATTGACTCCCGAGGATAAGAGAACCAAGATGGTGCTACTTGGCTTCTCAGTCTCGTCCTCGGCCGCGTTTTCGTGAGCAGCAAACGCCACGAAAAGTAGGTCACAACCATTTTGACCTACCTTAAGTGGCATGCTGACAATCGTACAAGCGAATATAAGATCATTTTATAATGTAAGACGCCTTTTTTACGACTTCCTAGATCGGGAAAGTCCTGATGTTGTTCTTTTAAATTCTACCTCTATCACTAATTCCTATATTATCAAACACTTCGGCTACACGTCAAGACAATCGTGAGACGGCTGGTGTGTAGGGTCCTGCATTCTTGTAAAATCCACCTTCCATTTCGAAATCATTTCACCCCCATTCATTCATCCTGATTTTATGGCTATCAAGCTATTCACCCAGCAAGGCCCTATAATGATCGCCACTGCCTATATCAGATCTTGCACAAACTTGCCAATTCATGATTTTAACAAACTTTTTAATTACAATAATCTCTCAGTCTTCTTTGCCAGGGATATTAATGCACGACACACATCATTTAACCACACAACCAACAACGCACACGGAAGACAGCTCTTGTCTATTTTCGAAACAAAAAGACTGCATTACATCGGACCCGACTTCCACACTTCATTCACAACAAGAGGGAAGGGCCGCCCTGATTTCGTTTTCGGGAATAGAGCGGCACTCCCCTACCACACACACCTACAACCCGGCCCGAACTTCGGTTCTGACCACATACCCGTCATTATAAAACTTTCTACTACACCTATACAAAACAAAGAAACAACATCCTTCAGGTATAAAAAAGCAGACTGGGATGATTTTAAATCTTACCTTGCCAGTCAAAATTTCAATTTTAATCTTGAAAAAGAAAATATTCTCGAAATAGATAGGCATTGGCATCATCTCTTCGCGTGGATTTCAGCAGCAATGTGCCGCGCCATTCCGCGACAGCGCTTTAATACACGCATATCATTCCATCCAAGCGAGAGAACCAAGCGTCTCCTGACCTGCTACAGGAACCGTTTTCTTCAAAATTTAAATTACTTGCACCGAGTCCAGTGTGACTTATCTATCCTCAGAAACCATGGCATAAATAGTTTTGATAATGACCACAAAAATTATTGGTATAACTTAATTAAACAAACAGAATCAATTACAGTTCGCACTCCACGGGAATTTTGGCAATCTATTAGACAACTTAAAGCCAGTAATTCCCCCCCCCCCTTCACTCACCTCCTCAAGGACAACATTCAAATTTCTGATCCCGTGGAGGTTATCAAAATTTTTCATGATCACTGGCAAACTGTTTTCTGAACCCCACCCTCTTTTTAATGAACATTTCCAAACAATCAGCACCTGGAACCAAGACCACAGGATAGAAACAGAACGAGAGCAGATTATCCACCTGGATAATCTGGACGACACATGCGAACTCCGTGCACACGAACGCAAGATGACACATCTTCAAACCGTGAGTACACATTTATGGGCCCCTTCTCTTTTCATTTCTTTTCTATTTTTTCCTAAATGTGTTAGGCCGTGTACAGCCAGCTCACGTTAGTTTTTTTGGTTAAACTGCTAATTACAGCAATGGCTCGCTCTCACTCTCATTTCTCCTTCTCTGACCTCATTTCTCATTACTGTCAATCGCGGTATGGAGTTAAACAGTATGAAATCGACACACACACACACACACACACACACACACACACACACACACACACACACACACACACACACACACACACACACACACACACACAC